CTTGTATGACTCGAATCAGCAGTCTGTTATGTTTCGATCAAATGTCTTGCTTGATGCTTACTGAGCATCAAACAAATGGAGCGAATTCCGTTGGAATAGCTAGTTTTCAGAGGTGTTACGATGACAAACATGTCCTGCTGTTTCTCAAACAAGTGAACTCATAAGCAGTTATCTATTTCAACCGAGAATGATTTCACATGATTCAGGTGAAGGTAGTTCACAACACATCCATAATGAATGCTGTAGGATGCTGCGGCTTGCAGGTTGGTCTTAAGGTCTCTTTTATGGCTGACAATAAGCAGAATTGGTCCCAATAAGTGTGTCATCTCCTAGAATGCAGTAAGTCCAATGAATAGGCTGCCTATGCAGAGTAGCTACTCCTTGTTGTGGTGGTCTCATGTTCAGAATATCTTAGGCAAAACATCAGAATATCTTAGGGAAAACAATTCTCTTAAGTATGTAAAAGATTACTAGTCCTTGAAACGATTCCCAGGCTCTACGACAGTTGAGATTTTCCACACAGCAGCGCGTCCAGATGACACTTTTTGTACAGTGACTACTCGTACTTTTTCTGCAAGGTCCTCTTTCGGAACCTCGTAGCGTAGGCAGATAGTGACTGCCGAGGCATTGAAAGGTGGGAAGGACATGTGACGAGCCAGGGAATGAGGAGGGGAGGGGAGAAAACTACAGGACGTATGAGCCACTTATCGTACGTGAAAAACTGGAAAGTGTGGGGTCTCAGTGAACGCCATATAGACGAGAGAGCGCAAAGGGAAGAAATACAATGCGGTCAAAGGGACCGAGTGAGAGTTGTCTGTTGACCATTTCTGCTCGCGTGCTCTTTTCCACCGTTATAAGGTTACCCGTGATTTCTTCCCCACCTCAACCAGGTCTCAGACAGCACAGACGGACAGCGTAGGTAGTTTTGCCGTGTGCCTCTTACCTCTGCTATCCCATCGCTGGTTTTCATTTGAGATTCATTATTTCGAATAAGCTTCCCGTCTTGTTTCTTTGACCTCACGATTGTTTTCAGCTGTATAACTTCGGTGAGACAGTCTCTATAGTGATGTGGCTAGACGGATGGGAACCGGATAGTTACTACGACAAAATAGCGACGAATATGGCGAACGGATTCCATACACTATGCTTGCTTGGTACATTTTTCTAGTAAAATGTCTTACATAACTCGCTATTTTCCGTTGACTTGTTGTTTTACAGATATAAAGACGAAAGAGCAGTCGATAGAAAACATGATGAGGCTAGTTTTTCAACAGATTTTGATCCACCTAAATTCGGCCTTTCAAATTCTGTGGATTTTACAATTTCAAGTAAAGAGTCCCTCAACATTCAGGGGGAGGAAGATCTATGAACCTCCTCGTTACTTAACATGTGCCGAGGCAGCCACCCAACTGTTGAAGATAGCGGAGCGTAAAAAGGAGGCTGGTATTGAACCAGGTGGGTTATATCATTCTTTCGCGAAAACGGCATTTCTAGAATAGCAAACAAAATCTCATTTCTTTTTCAAAATACGTGTTGCAATTTCAGCCTACAACGAGTCTTCGCCATGTGTGGGGTTGGCGCGAGTCGGTTGGGATGATCAAAAGGTCAGCCATCCTATAATACAGTTCATAGTCGCAATATTTAGTCTCTGTTTAGAGCTTCTTAAAAATAGTAAGGGAACTGTGTCTAATTGGGAGAATCCTCCAAGCTTACTGGAGCGAAACAAGTTACCTGCTAGGTATAGGAAAAAGCGCCCTAGCCCCACAAAGGCTGCGCTCATGCGGAGGCTCAAGTAGGGAAGCAAAGGCAATGAGGCCCTACTTCACTGACATGGCTTCACCTTGGAAATGGGTACTATTGGCTATTCCCTTCTTAGTGAATGTCGTTCCGCTTTATGACTTCATAGTTCCGCAATGAGGTATGTGAGCGCAACCCGAAAGCACGACGGGGTCGGTTGCAAAATGTCATTCCCGCAAACGACCCTGTTTCCTGGCGTAGATGGCGACAATATACAAAATAGAACCGAAAATATTCTCAAATGTCTATGATATCGGGGAATCCGGTGTTGCAATCTACAGGCTGATGCAAAATGAGAAAATGCGCTCCCATCGCCGCGTGCGACATTGCGGTAAACTGCGATTGTCTTGGCCGCCCCCCCCCCCTCCCGCCGTGTTCGCCCTCTTGGTGCTCTATTGCTATATGCTGTATACTCGCACAAGGCTCAAAATCCACCACAACCAATAGAGTCGTGTTTGGGTCCCTCCTAACTCTACTGATAGACGCTACTAACCCACACCTTGCTGTCGCAAAATCTGCTTCTGATGAGGTGTGGCATGAATTACTGAGCTGCGTTATATAACGACCAGCTGCATCACTTGCACAGCAGAATCCGGAATCGAGGCCCTTGTTGAAGTTAGCCCAACCAGTCTGATACTAGTATTAGGTCGTTGTGTGCATATGTCCAACTAAATTCAAACGACTTCACCTCCTCGTCTAGGAATCGCTGTTTTTTCATCCCAAAAGAGACTCAGTGGACGCTGAATGCTTCACCCATTATCTTCTCCTTCCGGTAATAATTCTGCTCCAAGAAGGATGCATTCCTCATCCATGAGTTCTTTTTTCGGGGGCACACAGCTGAGTGGTGATGGTGCAGTTGCAAGTGGCGCGCTACCACGCGCGCGGCTCTGGGGTGAAATCTCGGATCCTATCCGGCCCGGGCCAACCATTCTTCCTACTCCCCGGAGCCGGCAAATTGGTAGCAGGTTCGGTGGCTGGGTCCCGTTAGTCATTGTGGAGGCATATCACATTTAATATGCCTTTGCAATCCATACATAAGTAGAATGCGTACTGCATCCCAAAAGAGGATTAATGGGAGCTTGATCCTTTGGCTTTTACATATAAGTCTGGTGGTCTACTTCTCCAATTGTTAGGTTGAAAAAAATGAATGCGCATTTGAAAATCGTTAATAAAAACAAAATGTGAGAAATGCAATAATTGGGGTAATACTTTATATGATCAATGGTCCTTTAACATTCCTTACTCGAATAATGGGCGTCCGTCTCAAAGAAGTGGCTTGGCTGTGAGCCGAAAAATTCAACACGCAGCTTTTATATTCCTCGAAATTTGAAATTTCCCTTGGCCGGAGAGTGTTGTTCAGACTGGGACGCATGACAACTAAAGGGGATTATCAGTGCTGTTTTAAAGAATCGTATGGGTTAATAAGCATTCAAACGTCACTACGATTTCTTATGGTAGTCGAACATGTGGTGTTCTCATGGCTATTATGCATTACCAAACACTTGCCTCCGTTTTCTCATTCCCATCTAGTAATACTGGCAATTCTTTCAGGCAGAAACATGTGCAAGAATAATTTCTGGGATCTCATCTAAAAGCGGGGTCAAGGAGCGTAGGGGCTAGTGGTCCCCTTTTACTCCAGCACTGCCCGGTTATGAAGGTCTTCCTTTCCACCAGGTCCTTCCGGTTAAAGGCATGAGGCATGATAATTTGGTACTCCCTCTGAAATGGTAGTGGGGGTGTATATAGTTGGAAAATGGCGAAAAAGCGAAGTGAAACGCTCAAAAACATACAGAAAGCCTTTGTTCTT